GTGAGTGTGTGTGTGTGTGTGTGTGTGTGTGTGTGTGTGTGTTCGCCCATGTGTTATGTGTACACAGCGGGCTTTCCGTACGTCTGTTTGTGTCTAATGTCGTGATTCATCTCATGTGTATTAGGGTTTCCCACCTGAACTGTGTCATATTACGGTCTTTTGTCAGTCGCCTATTACATGCATCTAAAAATAGGCAGTGATTGTATATGTGGCCACCGATGGCCCCCACCCAGTCGACATCAACCATCTAATAAGTTCAAATGATTTACGGCTGGCTTTTTTTGTCAGGCAGGTGTTTGACGTCGAAACGGACGTCAGTATGAGGAATGCAACCACACAGGTAATGGATTTCACGTTCAGCTTTAGTCCTGTAAACTCTCACCTGGGTGTTGACATTAGATCAGGTTTACGGACAGGCTATTTATAACATTACAGTTGGACGAGGTTTTATAAGGCTTTGCAAAAGCTTTGACTTATCGGCTGGTCCTATTCAGTTTTTAAGTCCCTGGGCGTTTTTTATTATGTACACACATTACGCTATTGTTACAAGTTATGTTTTGTTTAATGGACAAAAGTGTTTATCTGAATCTGTAAGAACTATTACAAAACCTACACTGTAAAAAAAATATTAATTGAACAAAGACTATTGGACTATATTTTACAAGAAAGTATTTTTATTTAAAAATGTCATGTTTCATTTAGTGTTACTTTCCATATGTTTGTAATTATTTCTGAAATGTCTGTGTGAAAATTGTTTTAAATCCCACACAAGTTTTTTTTTTTCAGTGTAATAGCATTCATAAGCCACCCCATAAAATGCTGAAAGCATCTTCATACAAAGATTTATGGTCACACTTTATTTTAAGGTGCAATTCTCGCTATTAACAAACCATTAACTATGACTTGTGCCTTAATAAACTCCTAATTTGCTGCTTATTGATAGCTAGTAAGGTAGTTGTTAAGTTTAGGTATTATGTAGGATTAGGGATGAAGAATATGGTCATGCAGAATATGTGCTTTATAAGTATTAATAAACAGC